CTAGACCTCTTACCTTGCGAAAAAAAGAATGAGAGACCCGGTCAAAAAGCTAGCATACACGTTTGCGCAATAAGATGAGACTTGAGAATCTTTCGAAAGACACGACATTCTCGTGCCAACATGACAAAGAAAAATAAAAAATAGGACTTTTGCAATTCTTACATTAGTCCTTCGCGTACTTCAAGTATGCGTCAAAACACCAATGTGCGGCAACATTTTAACTTAGTTGTACACGCGTCAAAACACCAATGTGCGGCAACATTTTAACTTAGTTGTACACTGTGTCTACTTCCTGCATAGATATAGGTGATAGTCCCTTTTGAGTGTCTTGCTGAATTCTTTGCTCCTAGGAATAGCCCTGAAACCCCTGAACATATTGATCGTCTGCATGTTAGATTGTTCTATACTCTCAAAGAAAGGACCCTTTTCACCATTCACCGTCACCTTTACAAGTCTTTGAGATCAAGAGCAAGAGTATTTGTGTGTGCTGCGTTGACTTCATAGATGTTTTGATTATTATTTTTTCCCAGTAATTTTAATCAGTGCACAAAGAAGTTGTTGGTCCCTGTTTTTCTACTCTAAAATGTATGGAAGATTGATCAAATAACAAGGTTGAAGTTTCCCATTGATGAAAAAGGTTTCTACAGAATGATGAAAAACACACTTAGCGTAAAACCTCTTCTGTGAATAAAGCCTACGGCTGAAACTTGACCTACACATTCTCTAAGGGGCATATTTATAGCCTTTAGAGAATGTTAGGTCATCTAATGATTGTGCTCCTTTTCCAAGAAGGCCCATTCCCTTTTTAGGCATGTAGGCCTTTACTACATTTGGCCTATTTAATACAATAATAAATGCTACTAAAGAGGCCATATAAAATAAATTGATCACAACAGATAAATATCTATAGCAGAAGTTGTTTAGGAAAGAGTTCACTTGAGTTAGCCTGTCTGCAAATATACTTTTGACTACCTGTGCGCCCTGATATTGCTTGATGTCGTTATGATTATCGTAAGCCCCAATGTTTCTTGAGGACAAGCAAAGATTTAAGTGTGGGGAAGTTGATAAGTACATATTTGGACACACATTTGATGCCTGCTAGGATTTACTTTTACCAATTTTTATAATTTAAATGTGTCACAAAGCACTAATTAGCTCAAGTCACAATTTACCAGATTTTTGTTTGTTTTGGGTATTTTTAGAGTGAAAATCAGGGAACTAATCCCACCACTGTGCGTGAGAGAATGGTTCAGAGAGATTTGAGACAAAATTGAGAGTTGATAAGAGGCATTGAAGGTCCATGAGTCATTAAAAATGTAATTTTGAAGTCAAGAGAGCTCAAGGATCAAGTACGAGGACGAATGTGAAGCTCAAGGATGATGATTTATCAATCGTTTGATCAAATCGTTTCATAAAAATCTTAAAATGATATGATTCAGGTTTAATATGAAAGATAACTCAATGGGATACACCGTGATGAGAATGTGAGAGGATCAAGGTAAAAACAGACAAAGAAGTTAAATAATGGCCGTTGAGATTTCAGGATCAACCTTTCACCAATTTATTCATATCTTGTGTTTGGATGATCCAATTCGAGTTTTGAAAGGATTGTTGGATAAAGGACCTTTTCAACTACAACTTTGGTGAAGAAAGCATATTGAAATCCGGATGAGAGATTCACACGCCATGTGCACGAAGCACTCACGTCATGCGCGGAAGAAGAAATCACTGAAAGGTTACTAGAGGTTGTCCACCGGTTTTTTTCTCTTAGGGTGCTGTGGATGCCCAAATGCCATGCACACCGTTTTCTGCCAAAACTCCATAGTTTTCCATAGGTCCTTTTTTCGGCCAAAACTCCACCGTTTTCTATTTAAACTGCCTCTAAACCTCTATTTTGAAGGGGAGAGCTTGGAGAGAGGTGTCTAGGATGAAATTTCAGAGGTTTTCAACCTTGAATCTTTAATATTCTGGGATCATTTGCAACTTTTATATTTTTAACTAATAACAATTAATTCTTGGCTAAAGGGTCAAATAGGCCCCTCTACCTACACGAATTGCTCAATTCACACCCCGAACCCAAAAAAGCTCCGATCCGACCCACCAACCACATAAAATCGGTCAATCTTTCCTTTTACCCGGTTGCCTCCCGTTCTCTCCCCTTAAATGCCTAGCTAGCAAGTCAGCCTATTTCTGTAATGCTGACTCATTGATTACTCCCACCAGAAGTTGTTTGCGTGTAAACAACATACCCGTTTACAGTTTACGCATGAGACGATGTCACTGCTATACCCTAATTTTGAAATTTGAACGCCTAAAATTGCAGAAGCACAACCCACCAAAGTCGTAACAGCTGAGCGAGAAGAGGAAGAAGACTGCCCTGAAGTCAATGCCCTGAAGTCGTTAAGGTAAACGAATTGACTGAGATTGTGCTAAAGTTTTATTTATGCAAGAACCAAAATATTCTAAAGGTTTTAAGTTTGACAATGTCTGGGATATGATTAAGAATTTTGAAAAATTTAAAGATAACGTGTCAACTACAAGACATGCTGCTCCACAAAAAAGACAGGTTAACTATGACTCTTCGCAATCAGAATCCCATCCACCATCTCCAATTTCATCATCATCTGGATTGTCATCTTCGTTCAATAAAGAAGTTGATATTGATTATGGATCTAATTTTTCAAAATGACCCACAGGGGTCAAAAAAGCCAAATTGAAGAAGAAAAACGATGAAGATACTAATGTTTTGCTTAAGTCTATTTAAAAGCGACAATGAGCAACTTATAGAAATGTTGAAGAAATCATCGTTAGGCATGAACAATTGAAAATCCATCGACAATATATGTTATATAAAGATAAAGAATTTTACAAAAAAAATCTCAAGAAGGAGGATCATCTGCTGGATTTGAGAATCTATTTGATGGTCTTATAGGGTTTGGAAGCGGGTTGAATGACTACTAATTTTTAAATTAGTATGTATTATGTATGATTTTAATAATGTTGTTTTTGATTTTAATGGTGTTATTAATAGTAATTTTAATTATGTTATTTTCTTAAGTATCATTTCTATTCTGTTATTATGTTGTTTCAATTTGAAACTTTATTTATAATATCGTGTGATTTAAATTTTATTATATTTGTTTTTTTTTCAAATTTATATTTTAAATTTGTTGGTCTAAAAATGGGCCAATACTATAACCATCATGCGCCATATATGGCGTAAACAAAACCCTCCTCCCCCTATTTTAGTGAAATGGTGAAGCATTTGGAGTAGCTGTTGGAGCAAAAAAAATGGCAAATCCACTATTTTGGTGGAAGATTTGATGATTGTTGGAGATCACCTAAAAAAATCTAGAGCTCCCGCTATTGCCATAGCTGTTTATTGTTTATGTGAAGAGTTAGTGTTTAGTGAAAAAAAAGTCTTACATCTAATTTGCTAAGATAGTTAACATGATGATTTGCTAAGATAGTTAACATTATTAGAAAAATCTCATTTAAATAGTTAAATATAAAAATTCTAAACACTGTTCTTTTAAATAGTTAAATTAAATGTACTAATGTATAACTAACTAAATACGTAGTATATAATAAAATAATAATATGTTGTCTCGTTAAGATTGTCTTATCTTTTCTCTTTGATCTGTTCCATTAAGATTGTCTCGTACCAAATTTGATAAAGTTTGTATAATTATAACTTTTTTTATTCTTGCTTTATCAATTCAATATCAACCATATAAACTTACTTTTCTTAACAATCGTGTCACCTCCTCATGTCTTAATGTTAATAAGATGGAGGCAATATTAAATTTACTTCTCAACACGTAATGAAGAGATAGTTGGTTATCAATCTTTCAATAGCTCAAATAATAATATCTCTAATAGAGCTTCTCAATGAAAGCTATCCAAACTAGCATTGACTTTGTCATTTTATGAGAACCCTGTAGAGAGTTACTTCCCCACTATGAAACTAATCTGTGTAATAGAATTGACGATATAGTGAAAAAGATATCGTTAAAAATAATACAATAAGAATAAAGTTGTATATCAATTTATTCATGGTTGTATATTTTTTAATTGTCTATTTTCGTGGGAACAATAGTGATGTATTTTTTATTGAAAAAATATGTTTAAACTATTAAAAATGTTAGTGTAATTGGCTCTTATCCAGAAGAAAATTTTATGGGAACAATAGTGATGTATTTTTTAACACATGCTATTGTGATGTAATAATACAATAATACTTCTAATTTTTGTTCTTCTCAAATTTTTATTAACTATTCTGCCTCCAACAACTTTTTTTCTTGATCTGCCACAGTTGTAGAATGCATTAAAGTATAAGTTATTCTTATGAATTTTCGTCATATAAAATTTAGGAAAGGAATAAAGGAACAAGTTTTAGAATTTGAGATTAAACAATGGGAAAGTTCCCGAAATGGGACTAAAAAGTTTGAAAATTCCAAAATAGGACTGTCATGTTTTTATTCCCAAAATAGGACTAATTACTGCCAAAGTTGGAAAATACTATTTTGGGAATTGAAGTTTGGTACTGCCAAAACATGACAGTAATTAATCATATTTTGGGAATAAAAATATGGAAGTCCTATTTTGGAATTTCCAAACTTTTTTAGTCCCATTTTGGGTAATATCTCTTAAACAATTTGTAGAAACAATAAATTAGGAAATGTTTCTCTCTTCCCTTTAGAACTTCAACTAACTATTGGGTAGAAATATGCCCCTAATAGAATAAAGTTGATGTTATTAATGGGATTAAGATTTCCAGTCTGATTTGGCCTGGTTTACTTTAATGTATGTGTATTTTATAACTGTATTTAATTTGATTGGACGTTTTCAAACCAAAAAAGTGAAAAAACTATCTTATAAAAATTTTCAATCCTTATCTCGCTGTAACGGAAATTTATTTTCTGAAAAAATGAGACGTATTTTTTATTTGACGCTTTTACTAAAATTTCTTAGGTGGATGGTTCATGGTTGAGAACTTGAATGAGATTCACAACTATAAATAGCTCACCACCTACATCAAAGCTGTACACCTTACCTTCTTCCATGCATCCGACCAACCAACCAACCCCCGCACTGACGAAACTCTTCTGACAGCCAAATTGAAGGTAATAATCCAAATTTTCTCACATTGGAATTATCATTCGAACAGTTTCACATAGACTTTTATCTGAGTAGATCAGAATGCATGTTTAATGTTGAAATCTGAGTGATCTAGGAATTTATACTGGTGAGGGGAAATGGCTCGCAAGAAGATCAGAGAGTATGATTCTAAGAGATTGTTGAAGGAGCATTTTAAGAGGCTCGGTGGTAATGATTTGGCAATCAAATCTGCCCAAGTTAGTAGCCCCCTATTTTGCTTGTATAATTTATCACAGTTTTCTTTCCCTGGGTGAACAAATTAATTTATGTAGTCATTTATTTTATTTTAATCAGCTCAAACATCTATGCCAGCTTATTGGAGCATTATTAGTGTAATCCTAAATTGCTTGAAAGGGAATTTTTTAGTTTTCATTTCTAGTTTAGTAGTCCGAGACCCATTCATTTTGAATCAGTCAGGCAGTAAACTTGTTAGGACGAAGAAAACTTGTCAGGAGACGCCGTTAAGTCAGTCTTCTATGGTAGATAAAGATGCAAACTCACATATAAGGGCATAAGGCTGAACCCAAGCCTTAATAGATGAATAAAAACGAAGGGAATATTTCTTTTAGTGATCAATGTAGGTACAATTGTGATAATTCAACCATAGTGGTAGGATTAAAAGCCTGTGTGAAAATACAGACATGAGAAATCGCAGTGTTAAAATTACCACAACTAAGCAGTAGTAAAGTTTTTGCTTTTCTTGGGTTTAGGTTATAGAATCAACTGATTTCAATGAGCTGGTTGAGAAAGAGTCTTGGCTCTCCTCAACAAAGCTAGTTGTAAAGCCTGATATGCTTTTCGGGAAACGCGGGAAAAGCGGTTTGGTTGCCTTGAATCTAGATCTGGCTGAAGTCGCCATTTTCGTCAAGGAAAGGCTTGGCAAGGAGGTAATCCCCAAATTCTGCTCAACCTGTTATGTACAAATCTAACCTTGTAGATACATTTCTGATCTTCTTATCACTAACAGGTTGAGATGGGAGGATGTAAAGGTCTTATAACAACTTTCATTGTTGAGCCATTTGTCCCACATGCAGAGGAGTTTTACCTTAACATCGTCTCTGATAGGCTAGGATGCAGCATAAGCTTTTCAGAGTGCGGAGGAGTGGAAATAGAAGAGAATTGGGACAAGGTACCTCAACCACTCTTGTGTAATACTCTCTCCGTCCCTTATAGTTTTGCCAAGCTTGACCGGCACGTGGAGCAATAAAGTAAAATTTGTGTGGTTGAGGTTTGTGCAAAGGAGAGAGAAATAATAAGAATCACAAATTAATTGCTTAAAAGTGAAAGTGTTAAAGTTTTTTAGACAACCAACAAAAGTAAAGATGAGAAAGTTATGTGGGATAGAAGGATTAATAGTATAAATCTAGCAACATCTTTAATTGCCTTTCTATTAATGTTTCACCCTATAGGGATGTACTCCCTAACCTTGTTGATGGGGTTTTAAGGTTGTCACTCATCCTTCGCTATTATATGTTGGGCTCAATTTAAGGGACAATTACATGGCATCATTGACTGGTCCCGACCCCCACTGTTGATGAGTGCTACAATCCGGGCCAGCTGCCTTTGCTTCAGAGACATTAGTTGTAGTAGTAGTAGTAGTGCAGCTATTGCGCAGCCGCAGCAGTTGTCTTTATTTGTGAAATTTTATCCTCATGTGTCCAATTTTACATTTATTGATCATTTGTAAATCAGAATGTATTAGCAAGTCTTTTTGTAGTTCATTCCTATTTAAATTAATTGAATTAAAAATGGTATTGTAGTCTGGTTATTGTCCACACTATGTGGATCCCCATCCCAGCTAGCATGTGGGGACTTGTTAAAGCAGAGCAGAGACTAGAGAGTAACAAGGCCTGAAGGCCATCCTAATTAGGAAGCCTTGTGCTAATTAAAAGTTAAAGTTATGTGCAATTATATCTAGAATTATGTTACTATCATGTCTATTTAAAAAAAAACATAAAGCGTTTTAATAAAATAAAAAGAGTTTTTGCATACTGAATTTTCATCCAGTGCCATGTGTTATATAGACAGCCCTGGGAAGTAGCATAACATGTGTCTCTTCTATCCAGTACTTTGTCTAATATTGACACCACAATCCCATTCTATCCAGGTCAAGACCATATTTGTGCCAACGGGGGTTTTGTTTACTTCAGACTTGTGTGCTCCACTTGTTGCAACCCTTCCACTTGAGGTAATGTAAATGAAGGAATCACAAGTTGAAGATGTTATGATTTGGTTCAAGTCTTTCGCTGACCAAAGTTCAGCTCGCTGAGAGTTTTGGACACATGTTACTAAAAAGATCCGTGTGTGACATGAATTTTTGTACTTGGTGCAGATAAAGAGTGTGATTGAGGACTTCATCAAAGTGGTATATGCACTATTTTTAGGTATGTTCACGGAAAGATGTGCCCACACTGTTGAAGCATTTTATGCCTTATGTGGATGTGTGATGATAGGCTTCCACTTTTTTTTTTTATCTTCCCTTTTCTTTTAGATTTGGATTTCACTTTCCTTGAGATGAACCCATTCACATTGGTTGAAGCAAAGCCTTATCCACTGGACATGAGGGGGGAGCTCGATGATACTGCTGCCTTTAAGAACTTCAAGAAGTAATCTATATGCTTTTTTTAATGTTTGTTTTTGCATTCTTGGCATTGATACAAATGGTTCTTATTTACTTGCTACTTCACACGATTCAAATCTTGCAGGTGGGGGAATATTGAGTTCCCTATGCCTTTTGGAAGAGTTATGGGTGCTAAGGAAAGATTTATCCACGGGTTGGATGAGAAGGTATTTGTTTTTAAGTACCTGAATTCTTTGCAACACGGGAATGAAATATAAATGATAAATGGATAGGGGCCATGGAAATTTGAGGAGTTTATTCTCTCCCTGATTTCTTCTTAATTTTTCTTGGATATTGTATTACCGTAGCAAAGCTCCCTTTTAGAAGGGAGATTACATCACTACATGCATATGCATGGAGAAAACAAGGAATGGAAAATACTAGAAAATCACTTCCTAAAATAGATTAACTATTGAAGGTATTAAAATTAAATTGTAATAAAACCAATTAAGCAAATCAATCAGCTAAAACTCCTCATTATTCTACGTGATTGCTCTTTTATCTTTTCATAATATTAAATTGTAGCATGCGTCATTGCACCCCTCATTGGAAAATCGAGCTTGCCCTCAAGCTTGAAATCTTGAACCTGATGTTGAATCACTGCAACAATAAAAGTGCCAGTGATCCTTGTATTCTTGAAGAAGATTGAAAGTCACTCTTAGAGGTGGACTATGATGAAGGTGATCATCATCTATTAAAAACTTCTTCTGAATACTACGGTAAACTGGAACAGTTTAAGTGGACCAAAATGAATCCAAAGTCCAAGAAGTTCATCTTGGGGAGTTTATCTGGATTATAGGTGTTGTGGACAAGCTTGGCTTTGGAAGATGTTGTGGTGGGAGAAACGCTGACGGCTGTTGAGGTAGAACTTCTATAAATGAAGGTTTACTGATGGTGGCGCTTCATCGCCTACCTAGGAGTCCGCTGGTTGGGACAGGTTTGCAATCTGGTTAGGAAACTCATCATATACCATGGAGTCCATAGATAAGGAAGGGTTGGCAATCTGGTTAAAAAGTTTCTTAACACACTCCTGTAATAGTTGCAGTTCTTGCTGCACCTTTTGCACTGCATTTTGCAGCTGGTGAAGATGCCCTTCGCTTGTTATTTTTTATAGGAGTGTGTGTACTGATCTTTTGGGACTAAGACTTGGTTGTTGTTGTTGTTGGTAGTGGTGTGTGTACTGATCAACAGGAAGTATGGAATTTCACATGATGCCGGCAATGGAACCAAAGTTATATACCGGAACTGGGACTCTTTACATCACATAATTAAATTAAAAGGATAAACAAAACGGGTTCTGGACATTTCAGGAGTTCCACTTCTCCTCGATTTCTTAATTTTTCTTTGATATCCTATTACATAACAAAGCTCCATTTTATAATATGGAGTACATACATGCATGATTTCATGAAAAGACTAAAACAAGGAAAAGGAAATCCTAGCAAATCACTTCTATGAATAGATTAACTAATGAAGGTAATAAAATCAAATTAGAACAAAAGCAATCAAGCAAATCAATATGCAATTACTCGTCATTCTTGTGCTTGATTGCCCTTTTATCTTTTCATAATATCACTCCATCCGATCAAAATAACTCTCTTATTTTCCTTTTCACGTAGTTTAAGATAATTGTTGTAGACTTCACAAAAAGTAAGTTTTTGGTACTGTAGCAGTACTGTACTTTATAAAAGTGTGTTGTAGTTGCTTTTAGGGTTGATGTCTTTCAAAAAAGGGAAATGAGAAAATTATTTTAGGGTTGATACAACCCGAAAAGGAAACCAGGACAATTATTTTGATATGGAGTATATCGTAGCATGCATAATTTCTTGAGTCCTATTTCTGCATGGTTTTATATACTGATGAAATTGTGATTTTCCTCATTGATAGATGGTGTTCACCTTTGAAGCTCTTTTAGTTAATTATCTTATTTCTCCTGTATATCCTAAATAAAAGGCGCTTTTACCAAATACAAAGATTAAGATAATGAAACATGTATGATTGAGATTATTTATTTATTTATTTATTTATTTATTTATTTATTTATTTATTTATTTATTTATTTATTTATTTATTTATTTATTTATTTATTTATTTATTTATTTATTTATTTATTTATTTATTTATTTATTTATTTATTTATTTATTTATTTATTTATTTATTTATTTATTTATTTATTTATTTATTTATTTATTTATTTATTTATTTATTTATTTATTTATTTATTTATTTATTTATTTATTTATTTATTTATTTATTTATTTATTTATTTATTTATTTATTTATTTATTTATTTATTTATTTATTTATTTATTTATTTATTTATTTATTTATTTATTTATTTATTTATTTATTTATTTATTTATTTATTTATTTATTTATTTATTTATTTATTTATTTATTTATTTATTTATTTATTTATTTATTTATTTATTTATTTATTTATTTATTTATTTATTTATTTATTTATTTATTTATTTATTTATTTATTTATTTATTTATTTATTTATTTATTTATTTATTTATTTATTTATTTATTTATTTATTTATTTATTTATTTATTTATTTATTTATTTATTTATTTATTTATTTATTTATTTATTTATTTATTGTTAGCGTTAGCCCTCAAAGCTTGCTTTTTGTTTATCTATGGAATAAATATTTTCTTGGTTTGACTGCAGACAAGTGCATCATTGAAGTTCACAATTTTGAACCCAAAGGGACGAATTTGGACAATGGTGGCTGGCGGAGGTGCCAGCGTCATCTACGCTGATACGGTGCGTTTCTGTTCTTAAAATATTTTACCGATGGAATTCTTATATGTGTCATTGTTGCTTCTTAGTACCGTAGATTTGCCTTAACCAGGTTGGAGACCTTGGATACGCAACTGAACTTGGGAACTACGCTGAATACAGTGGAGCTCCTAATGAAGAGGAGGTGTTGCAGTATGCCAGAGTTGTAATTGATGTAAGAACAATTAGTTTTGGTTTGTTAGACGTTTTTTTTAGAAAATAAAAACTTTATTAGATAAAACCGAAAGAAAGTACAAGCACTAATGAGGGAAATAAGCAACTGAGACTAAGCAAAGCTAGCGCTAGTGAGGAAATAGAATTAATGAGCAATGAAGTCCAAGTGAAAAGATAGACAATACCCATATTAGTCTTTCTATTATTTTAGTTATTACAATTCGCTTCCCAGACTCGATTCGATTACAGAAAAAATCTCGAAATATGAGTAAAAGCAAGGTAAAATTCCAAAATAGGAGTACTATATTTCCCCCCTAAATAGGAGTAATTTATTTTCTTTTTCCATCATTTCCAATGAAGCCAAAGACTCGCTATTGCTTGGCTTAGGAAAATGATGGAATAAAACAAAATGACCCACTAAACTGTCTGCGCTTCTTTGTTATGAAGCAACAGTGAGCCCGTGCAATTTTGGACGCGATTATCATCATGGGTCATCCAGAAATAGTCTCTCTGTGCTTTAGTACATGGATAAGGCTATGAACATCCGACTCCCCTTACCCCCACCATAAAAGGCACTGGGGTAAATGGGTAATGTTGTTGTTGTAGGAATAACTTATTTTCTTCCTAAAAGTTTATTTCTATATTTTAGCATTATCAGACTTTAATATGGCAGTAATAATGTACTAATTGTCAGTATTTTGACTATTTTCTAAACATTGCAGAAATTATAAGGAGTATAATTTAGGGAATAAAATAAAATTCTCCTCTTGGACATTCACATTTTTTTTTTATAAAAATGGATTTTTTTACTAAGAAATTCGGACCCAATATAGCTTTCATCCTTGCCAGTTTCTAAAATTTGGCCGATCCAATGGATATCTGCACCGAACCGCTCCGGTCAAAACAGGAAGCCGCATTGGCCGAGGAATGGGTACGGGGCGGGGTGTAACCGTTTTTTTACGGGTAACGAGGTGGTTACAGTTTTATACATGCCCGCCCCATTACATAGGTTGCTTAGGTTGGTTCATTATAGTATATTTGATATTTTATCTCATACCTCTGCCGTACCAAGAACTCTCGGTATGCAAAAATACATACCGTTATCTTACCAAAATTTTGATACGGTAAATGTACAGTATCTTTGATTTTTTTTAGATGGTATGTTACATTTGAACTTTAATACAACAGATTATTATATGCCAAATATAATATACAAAATCGATGTTAGTAGTGACATACTAAAATCATTACATCAACAAGATTACCCTAGTGTTGCAAAGGCTCCCACCTGTGGTGCGGTAAGGGGGTCGGATGTACGCAGCCTTACCCCATAGAGAGACTATTTCCACATGACCCATGATGAAAATGACATTGAAAGTTACATCGACTGATTGCTTCATAACAAAGAAGCGGATACAGTTTCATGAGTTTTATTTTGCCTCCTAGAAACTAGGTTTATCTTTATTAGAATTAACCTGATTCTTAATCCTAAATGCAATCATTAAATTTAGAGTGGGGCCTTATGTTTTTATTCCTGTGCTGTTGAGGGCATATTAAAACTTTGTAGTAATAAAACTCACTAAGCTGTATGCCCTCTAACTTTCTAATTCCTGTGCAATTATTAAAACTTTCGTAGTAATAAAATAAAGAAAAAAGTTGGAAAGAAACAACCTGATTTCCAATCCTAAAGCTGAACTGTTAAACTATGCCTTCTATCTTCCTTAGCCTCTGCTATTCTACCTATGCATGTGAACTGTGCTGGCTGTCTGGTTGCTTGACTGTCTAATCAAGACGTAATCTGAACTAAATGAAGCGAGAAGGCCAGAAGTGTGATTGCCTTTTATCTATGTGTCTGCGTTTTGGATTACGTCGTGGCATCAACTCTGTGCCTTACTATGTGTCTTAATATATCAACTGTGTCTTATATATATCAACTCTGCCTCTTACTGTGTGTCTCAATGAGTCAGTGTCTCGCTGTCTCTTTTAGTCTCTCTCTTAGCGAGATTAAGAGAAGGAATGGAGAAGAATAGAAGAAACGGATGAAGGATAGGAGGGGATTAAAAAACTAAGAGAAAAGGGTCAAATAAGCCCTTTTACTATCTTCAAATCATCACTTAGGTCCATATACTTAAGTAAGTGTCACATTCATCTTCCTACAAGTAAAAAACAGTCATTTAAACCAATTAACGTGAAGGTGACCTGATTTAGCAGGTTATTCACTTATGTGGCATTTTTTCTGTTTTATTTTAATTTCTTTTACTTTCCGTTTTTTGTTTTCTTTTCTTTTCATTTTCTTCTTTCTTGGTTCGTGCGTTGGTCAACCCGTATGCCTCTGTCTCAATTGTCTTCTTCCTTCGTCCGTTTCTTGGTCAACCCGCATGCTTCCATCTTCAATTTCTTTCTTTCTTTCTTTCTTTCTTTCTTTCTTTCTTTCTTTCTTTCTTTTTCTTAGCTTTAAGTCTCTCCGGAAAAGATGTTAGCTACCCGTAGATTTTGAGGTAGGATTTATGTTTTCTTAGAATTTATGTTGCCAGTCCTTTGGCGTCACTAGATCTTCCTGCTTTAACTCGGTGGGTTCACAAAGATTTACAGGACGGTTGGAGGCATTTTAATTTTAGTGAAACCGATTCTCCACCTTCAAATCGGATGGCCGGTAGAACCAATATCGGTACCAGTGTCCGGTGGAGATTATAAAAAATGCTTTATGGCGCCGGCAACATTGCCCAATTGATTTATCTCTGTCTCTGCTCTTTCTTCTTTTACTTTAGTCTTTAATTTTCTTTGTTTCCTCTAATTCATTTTGCATAAGATGGTGTCTACATACGGCGATTATACTGGCTAGGGAGGAGGGGAAAGACACAGAGTATGTTATATGCATATGTACTTCTAGATACATGTGGTATATTGGGTTAGGGAGGAGAGTGAGAAGAGCAAAACGAAAAAGAAAAAAAAGGAAATGAAAAAATGATACAAGCCACATTTATATAATGAGTTGGGCTGACCTTATTTCAACTTACACGTGTAATTTTACCAGTTGAATAGGTTACGTATAGGTCATTCGGTTTTAAATGATTGTTTCTCATGAGTAGACAGATTAGTACATGACTGGATCTAAGTGATGGTTTGAAGATAGTAGATACCATTTGTCAAAAACTAAAAATACCATTTGTCAATAACTAAAAAACTAAAACTACCATTTGTCTCTTCAAGAACTCAAAAGTTTCAGAAGTTGATAATTTCTACGCCTTTTCGGTTCTTCATAATCCCTATGCAAAACTGAAAAGTCGGAGCAAACAGAATGAAGAGCCGAAGGACTAACTGCTGCAACACATTTGAACAACATTTTAATGATCTTACTACTATGCTAATAAAATTTGGAGGCCCTACGAGGAAAGGGGGCCTTGTTTTGTTGCACCTGATGCACATGGGCAGGGCCGGCCTGTCTACCCTAGTTACCATGTGTTCATATATTATGTAAATGTATATATAATGTGAAATGTAAATGTGAATCATAAATCATTTGGCTTCAGAAATTTTGGCCTCTAGATAAAAAAAAGGATAAGGAGAGAGAGTGACTAGACCAAAACCTCTCTAGAGAAGCATACCTCCTCGATATACATGGGAAAATAGAAAATAACTTTTTTGGGGGGCTGTACCTGACCCGAAATAAAATACAATGAAAGCAAAATACACACACACACACAGATAAATCTTCATGTTAGGTCGGCCTGACCGGAGCTGCCGTCCGGCTAAGCCCGTTTGAGGGGCTTTCCAGTGGAATTTTTTGATGAAATTTTGTGAGCATGTTCCTCATGAAGTGTAGGTTATCTCCACAAAATTTCATATTAAAACTCAATCCGGAATGCAGTCAAATAAATTATTTAAAAACACTGCTTTGTATATATATAAACATCGCATTGTTTTTTCAATTCCACATTTGACCGACTCACCTCCAACCGCCGTTGTTTGGGGTGTTTCCCGGTGGATTTGTTGATAAACTTTTTGAGAATGTTCTTCATGAAGTGGAGATTATGTTCACAAAATTCCAGCTTAGATTTAATCGGGAAATTGGTTAATTAAATTATTGAAAAACACTGCGTTTATATATATTTGGCGCAGTGTTTTTCAATAGTTTATTTGATTGGCTCCCCGATTGAAATTTAATCTGAAATTTTGTTGACATAATCTACACTTCATTATGATCATTCTCACAAAATTTCATAAAAAATTCCACCGGTGACCACCTCAAATTGCGGTGGCCGGAAGGAGGGTCCTTTCATCCAGCTGGACACGATCATTACTCTATATATATGGGTATGTATACATATATAGGAATTATGATACCCAGTAGAGAGTGCTCAGAAAATGGTAAAATTATCTCAAGTTTACCTCAAAAGAGGGAGGATGAGATGATTTTTGGGTAAATTAATTTTACTATTTCGTGATCCCTTCTATAATATTCTCCACATATTAAGTAATATAGGATAATGATTTGATACATCTTTTGTTGTTAGAATTCAATTTTATCTGCACAAGAGTTGATGAAACCTTCCTTCAGTGTGCAACAGCAGACCCTGATGGTCGTAAACGAGCCCTTGTGGTGGGTGGTGGTATAGCAAACTTCACAGATGTTGCTGCTACATTTAATGGCATAATTCGAGCTTTGAAGGAGAAGGTATAGCCAAGACCAACTCCTTAATCATGGTTGCTTGTATCATTAAATCCCCTGTGAATCCAACCAAAAGCTCTTTGTGCAGGAAACAAAACTCAAGGCTGCAAGAGTCAGTATCTTTGTACGTAGAGGTGGTCCAAACTACCAACGGGGTCTCGCTAAGATGAGAGCCCTTGGAGAGGAAATTGGCATCCCCATCGAGGTACCAAAACAAAACTGGTCATCTACTCATCTTATAAGTTGTTGCTTGTTTGGCTGTTTTTGGGGGAAAGCACTTCCGCTGCAAAATATACTCACCTTACGGGAGTCTAATATTTGCTTCCGACCCCCTAATATTTGCCAATATACTCACCTTCCGGGAGTCTAATACTCCTATAGAAATGATTCCCCCAGTTTTGAGTAAAATAAGAATATCTGGAACCGTTATGAAAAGACACAGTTTTGTTATCGTCCAACACTGTTCACGTGTCATCTTCACCAATGCCAGAGTAGTAATCTTTTAATGCATGTATTGTTGTTCAGGTCTATGGCCCGGAGGCCACCATGACTGGCATTTGCAAGCAGGCAATTGAGTGCATCACTGTGGCTGCTTAAATCAAAGCCATTTGTGAGCTCTGGTCATGTCAAATATTTCTTGTTTTTGTCTTTGTGATTTATGCGCACGGAATGTCTGCAAGAACAGTTTTATTCTGCTTGTTTAGCATTATCATTTATGTTATTCACAAAATCACATCTTGCCATTAATGAACCGATTGAATCACACCCAAGTGCTACTATTTTGTTGTTGTGTGCTGTGGTTGTTGTTTCTATAATCTATGCTGATATGGCATACACCAACACACGGCAATCTAAAAAATATACTATCCTCGGTGGCTGAAAAGATGCAACATTGTAATAGGCACACATATTAAGATGTTCTGATAAAGTTTTTTCCTTCTTATTTTTTCCTCGTTTACATGCTCTCTATTCTCAGCCACGTGAAGAACTGGGAAAAAACATTCTGACAACCAAAGTTCATCCTCTTCCTTTTCCATGGATTATTTTACTAGTCTCAATTCTTAACATTCTCCTTCTTCAAAACATCTATTTATCCTTCTTGGTAACATCTCTTTAAAGCTTTGCCGATTTCAAAATTATCTGTAAATGTCTTCTTGATTTCGTTAACTCAAATATTTGAATCTCACACAAGAGTTACTTTATTACTTTTTTTTTTAAATCTAGCGTCTCCTATAACCACTTGACTATTCTCCATATCTCGATCTATCAAAGGTGAAAGCTCCTCTAGAAGTCCCTCTTTCAAAGTTTTGTTAACTAGCCAGATTTTTATGGAGGACTGGAACTCCACCAAATTAAAGAAAGAAGTGATGGAGTAGATGGCAGATGAAGGAACTGAAAGAACAGAAACAGAGGTGGAATTAGCAATGGACCCGGGTTGGTCCAATCCTAGATCTAGGCCGAGGCTACCCGGTCCTTGCCAAAATTCTGAGAAGATTGGGGTTGACCCGGTTAGTTCAGGTTCCGGGCTGGTTCTAGGTACCTGGTCTCGGTCTGGTCCCTGGTTCTGAACCTGACATGGGCTAGTAGAATGGGCCTCTAGGGCCAATCGATTGCGAATTTGCGATGCAAAGAGAATTTGGGAATGTGCAAGTCCATGTGACCATGTGGCGTTTTGCCCAAGTTAGGGACATTTGGTGACCTCATTTCATTTTACTTTGCATGGGGCAAGTAGAACGAGCCCCTAGTGCCGTTCGAACGTGATGATCAAGAGATCGGGGAATGTGAACCCGAAAAGTCCAATCAAGCGAACGACCCATGAGGCCATGATTGGATACCTCGGTGGCCTCATTTCATTTTGCTTGGCATGGGCAAGTAGAACGAGCCATCAGGGCCGTTCGAACACGATAATAAAGCAATATGGGAATGTGAATCTGAAAAGTCCAACTGAGCGAACGACCCGTGACCAAATACCTCGATGGGCTTGGGCAAGTAAATCGAGCCTCCAGGGCCGTTTGAAAGCAATAGTCAGGCGATCTGTGAATATGAAACCGAAAAGTCCAACTAAGTGAATGGCCCACAACCGGATACCTTGGTGGCTTCATTTCACCTCACTTGGCATGGGTAAGTAGCACGAGTCCCTTAGGTCATTCCAACTCAATGATTGGGGGGTTAGAGAGTGAGAACAAATGAAAAACAATTGCGCTGAAAGCTAAGGACGAAATAGTGGAATGAATAAATGCTTTGTTCTATGGCACTATCAGCTGGAAGATACATAGATATAACAAATATAAGTATACAAAAGAAAATCAGCAGGTACAAATGATTGGCTAGTGCTTTAGGATCGACTGGATTCGTAGGATTAGCATGATGGTGAGCAACATCTCTCAGCTCTTCGATGACACTTCTGTAGGACTTGACGAAGAGAGCATCAAACCTGACAACCTCTGGATCGAGCGAGTGGGGAAAATGCCTTTCGAAAAGGTGCAGGTTGTCCCATATTAGACGGTCCATTCCCTTGTCGAAAGTATCAACGACAAGGGCCTCAAGGAACTCCATACCCTCTGTAGACCTATACAACAGGCCAATCCATGCCTTCAGAAGATTCTCACTATGATGGAGGAAATCGCCCACATGTTTGGACAAGAACGTTCAGGCGGTGTTTGGAGCGCTTTCTGCTAGGCATCCGAGCCTGGAACTCGAGCAACCCATCCTTCCGGATTTTGGAGACGTTAGTAGTGTACGAACCCGGGGCTAGCTCGTCCTTCTTAGCCTTTTAGAAGGCCACTCCAGCTCTCTCTGCCGCTAACAATTTGGCACAAAGGGCCCGAATTTCATCATCTCGACTTCCCAACCGTCCCTTCAGCTCTTGTGTCGACTTATCATATATGGTTGCTTTAGCCTGTAGCTTGGAGGCTGTCGTCCGGGTGGCACAGAGCAATGACTCGGCTTCATCCCTAGCCTTAGCAGCAATCTTCATCTAACTCTTGGAAGCAATAAGGGCCTTATGAAAATAAACCCCGGCCTGCGAACGAAAGATACTTGATCGGAATAGGAAAACATGGAGGAATATATATAAAAAGGAGAAGGCCAGAAACCATACATTGGCAAGATCGATGAATCCCTTCCCTCTGTCAAATCCGCTGTTTGTTCTAGCCCGATAAAGTCGGGAGATGTTGGCCTCTGGGATATCATGTAGGGGGTGATAATCGAGTACTTGGATTGCTTAAGGATCGTGTAAGTTCACTTTCCGAATTGATATTTCTCCCCTATGCCTGGGTTCACCATGAAAATCATTTTCATTTACAAATTTGAGCTTGGTTTCTAGTAAATCAGAATGAACTTCAACAGGCAAATGCTCCACCTCATTTGGAGCAACATCAGGAGAAACAAGTAGGCAAGGAAATTCATTTTCAACAAAAATGACATTTCTACTCATCAACACATTGAAGCAAGTTTCACTCCTACACCAAAGCCTATAACCTTTCATGCATTCATGATATCCTAATAAAACATATCCATTAGTCCTAGGTTCAGATTTATCATTCTCATGATTCACATAAGCAGCACAACCAAACACTCTCGAATTTGGCAAGTGAAGTGGTTTGCCCGTGAACATAGATTCAGGGCATTTCCCTCCTAAGGGAACAAACGGGGACAAATTAACCAAATCAACATCATAACAAATAGTCCCCCCAGAACTTATTAGAGAGCCCAGATGAAGCTAACCTAGCCCTCACCCTCTCTAATAAAGTTCTAACCATCCTCTCAGCAACCCCATCCGGTTGGCGTGTGGAAGGAACAGATTTATGCATAGAAATACCCCAAGTATCACATAAATCACCAAGCTCACTATCACAAAAATCAAAACTGACATTGATCCTTAAAAAATTTATTTTCTTACTGGTTTGATTTTCAACAAGGGTTTTCCAGTTTTTAAACTTATCAAAAACTCCATATTTATTTTCAATCAACAAAACTCACACTTTCTTTGAAAAATCATCAATCAACGTCAGAAAATAATTTTTCCCACCATGAGTGGAAACACTATAAGGACCACACAAATCAGCATGAATACAATCCAGCACATTAGTACACTTAGGCAGATTAGGAAGAACAACTCTAGACTGTTTTCCTAGCACACAGGGTTGCACACAAGTTGTTTTTCATCTCAGCTTTAAAAACAACTAAACAACCCTTCACAACTTTCATGATTCCCTTTCCCCATTTTCCCTTCAAACCCTCATTTTCAAGAGAAGCACAAGATAGCAAATTACAGCACAGTTTAGGAACATGCCTAACATTCTTCAAAGTAAGCACATAACCATAAGAAAACCTAAGGCATACATCTCCTATTCCTAACACATTGCATTTCTTTTCATTTGCCAAAGACACAAAGCCATGCTCAATCTCTCTATAGTTTGAAAATACATTTTTCAAAGGGGGCATATGAAAAGTACAGCCATAATCTACCACCCAATCTGATTTACCCAAAAAATCAGATATCACAGAACTCAAGTAGTCATAATCACATATATTTCTCATCATAAAACATCACCTAAATCGTCTACACATGTAGTCAAATTAGCATGCTCACTATGCTTATTTTCCCTAGATTTAGGACAGTCTTTTATGAAATGACCAGGTTCATGACAACAATAGCAATGCCTCGAATTAGACCTAGACTTAGATCTGTGTCGTCTACTATTATCTCTATCCCTCACATGCATAACCTCCTCGAATATTCTACCCTCACCCATCTATTTTAAATCTAATTCCTTACTCTTAAGACCATTTACCACAATGTCAAGAGTCACATTATCTCTACCATACTTAATAGCAGATTTCACATCACTAAAGGAATCAGGAATAACATTTAAAAGAGCAATAGGGGAATAATCATCTATATGCTTTTCACCACACAACTTAATATCCAAAATAAGTTTGGTAAAAACATCTAGATTTTCCTCAATATCGCTAGACATATCTAGTCTAAATTTGAAAAACTTTTCAAGTAAAAACATCCGGTTAGGCAAAGAGGTTTCAGTATACAGCTCATCTAATTTATTCCACAGAATTTTAGCACTCTCTAAAATTCCAACTTTTCTAATCACAGAGTGAGATAAGTTCAAATAAATCACAGAGCATGCATTTTCATTCATTTCAGCCCTTTTATCTTCTGTGTCAGAAATCAAATAGGTTTCACCAACTGCTTTAAAACATTTTTGTTGGATTAAAATACATTTAATTTTTGCTTCCAAATGCTAAAATCAAATTTTCCATTAAATGGAGCCATACCATACTGATTATAAGCACACATTTTCACATAGAAAAACAAGCAACAAAAGAAAATGTAATGTTTGCCGAAAAACAATTTAAATAATTTTAAGGCTATCAATATACGAAGCAACTAGCGCGAACACGTGGGGAGTATTAATGAGCACCAAACTCAAGTTCAAACCCCTTGTTCTTCTGTATAAGTACAAATAAATAATAAATTCTCAGCACTAAACAACACAACAATTCTATCAATTTTAAAAGCAGTAATAAACCTAAAACATAATTTCTACACAATAAAAGACTAAAAAACAATCACTGCAAAAGCGATAAAAAGGTTCAAAGTCAATATACCGGAGTGAAACCTTAGGAGAGGCGTTTCGACCTTACCCACCCAATTTAAAATTGGGATTTTCCGGACTGTTGACTGGCGTTGACAGAGCTTTGACTGAGTTGACCGAACAGTTGACTGAGTCTTTCCTTTGCTCTAGGTCCAGCTCCAAGTCCAAGCGTGTCCAACTCAAAGTCAAGCTTTTGCGGCTCGGCTTCATGTCCAGCGTCCAGCAGCTAGGGTCCCAAACTCGGCCCAGCAGTGAGCAGCCCAAAACCCAGCAAGATCCAGCTCCATCTCCCTGTTGTATGCGTCCAGTTCAAGCGTGAGGGCTTCTGCCTCAATGACAGGTCATGACAGCTCTTCAACTGGCTTCCAGCAACCGTCCAAGTGTTCCAGTTTGACCGGCCCAGTGCTCCAGCGCTTTCCTCAATCGCGATTAGCTTCCACCAGCGACAGGAAATCCACAACGATCTCAGTAGCAGCGACAAGTAGGGCAAATCTCCGGCGACGGCTCTCAGGTAGACGACGGCTCTAACGGACGGATGGATCTTCAGGCGATGATTCCCAATAAGAAGCTCCAGCGGCGTCCTCGACCCACGAGCTCCGGAATCAACGAACGATAGACGGAATCAGCGGTGACCTCCAGTGGCGAGTTTCCAGATTGTAGACCTCAGGGATTTCTGGCGAGTAGATCCAGGACAGTAGACCACCAGCGATTTCCGGCAAGTCAAGCCTGGATGAGTTGCGAGCCGAGCTCCAGCAACTTAAATCCACGGACTACAAACACCCGGACCTTGGATTGTCTGAGAACAGCGGCGGATGGCGGCGGATGGCGGCGGCAGACGGAAAACCTTGCTCTGATACCACTGTTGAGGATCGATTCCGTCGACGTATTCCGGCTCAGGCAGTCCGGAGCTCGGTTTTCCGGTTGTCTCTTGTGCACATCTAGGCTAAGGGAGCAACACACCTTTCTAGCCTCGCCAACACTCACACTCCTAACCTCACCAAGAAGAAGAAGAAGAAGAAGAAGGAAAGCTGCCTCACAATGAGCACTCTCTCTGGCAGGAAGAAAAGGTTCAACTAATGAAACTCTATGGTGTGTCTTTCACTCACAAAACAAAGGGTGCAGGGGGTGTGCTTATAACATAGAAGCATTTTGGCCTTATTAGCAGCGACACTCATAATTCACTGCACACACAACTCACCACTAGCTCAATAATGAGCTGAATTCAAATTCTAACGGGAGAGGCAAATATTGATAGGCCAGACAAATAAATGGGTACAGTGTAATGGGCTGCTAGAAAGTGTGTTAACCATTATTAATATACAAAAAAAACGTTTGGGCCGACAATATATTAACAACATTATTATCTTACATATGTAGTTTACCGATATATTGATTCATTTGGTTGGGGGTGTTCGCTAACCATCTTACCAATCATTTTTTTCATTTTGGATTGATTTTGTAGGTTTGACCATGTCAAACATTTATTTTTAATATTTGATAAATAACTTTTTTATTTGGCCGTAAAAAATGAAAAAACGCGTTTAGTGGCAACATATTTCTGATTTTACCTCATTCACAAAATACCCTCTAATATTTAGTAACAATTCAAAAACAAAAATATTCATTAAAATAAAAATAAAGATAATAATCACAATGCAATAATATTGATAAGAAATATCAATATGAATAATGTTTTCATTTTCATAAAATGGTTTTAAAAATAGTAACAAGTACTGTGTTTGAATTAATGTATACGCGCACATGTATGTACATATACTAAAAATAATGGTAGTAATATTATGCAATTATAGCAAATGTAACTATAAAACTTCCCAAAACTACCCAACAAATAAAAAAGGGAAAACTATCAAATAAGCCCCCTACTTTTAAAAAAAATCAATTGCGCCCCCAAACTAAAAAAACAATCAATTAGACACATGAACTATTAAAAACGAAGCAAATTGTCTTTTTAACCGGTATTAAAATGGTTCCCGGTTAAAAGGCATTTGAGACCTCTGACGTGGCATTTTTTTCAATTCTTTTTTTTTTCCTTCCTCCTCGTTACGGTTCCATTTCTTTCTGTCGGTCCTCATTAGCTTTTTTGCTTCCTCGGTTCCTCCCTCTTCCGTTCCATTTCTTTCTTTTTCCCTCTTGAACGTTCTTTCTTTCCTCCCTTGATTTCAGTAGCATGGAGGCCTTGTGTAGCAGAGAAGACGAACTCAATTTACAATTGGGGATTTGGTCCAAGCTAGGGTTTGTCATAGCAGGTATTGGGGGTGAGAAATTTAAGCGATCGGGAATCTGGTAGAGAGCACAATAGGCATTCTATTTGATGGTGTTAAAATTGCACTTCATCGTCTTCAACGGAATCGGAAATCTGAAGAGTGTTCAATTGTTCAAAAATAAAGCTCAAACCACCATTAATGGCGGTCGAGTTTCCTGGGAAAAAACAGTGAGATTGCAATCTCTGTGGAAGCTCCAGATCGTTAAATTAATAGGAATAATAGCTATCACACGTCTGGTGGAAAGAAGATCGTGAGACCCATGCTGGCAGCTGTGGTTGCGTACTTGCGTTAAAGATGAATGGAACCAACGAGATGAGAGAGGAAGAACGAAGAAAAAGAAAATTAGGAAAAGAAAATATTGCATATGTGGCGCCACGTGGCTCCACGTGTGAAATTTTACTTAGTAACCGGTTGCATACCTCACAAAGACCTTATTTGAACGTGTTTTCTAAGTTGAGGTGTTTAATTGATTGTTTTTTTAGTTCGGGGTTTAATTGATTTTTTTTAGAAGTAAGGGGGCTTATTTGATAGTTTTCTCAATAAAAAATATAAAAAGTTAAGTACGTGTGTGTGTTTTATTCATTAATGATCATTTTATGATTTAACAAATAATAATAAACAATTAAGAGATCAAACATTTTACTTTTTGCCAATGATAGCGACAAATTAAAATAGCTAATATAATCTAATGGTGTGATCTGAGCATTTTATCCATTTTATATGGTAACGGCTAACTCTATTAATCAAAAACTCATTTTATCCATTTTTTTTAATCCAAAATGCAACAATAAGAATTTCTTTTTTATATTCTCAACATATGAGTAATTTATGCTCAGCATTCTTCATATTCTTCTATTTTCAAATACTCCGTCCCTCCCAATAAATTCTTCCAAGTCAAACTTGGTTCGCAAATTAAGGTACTGAGAATAAAGTGGAAATGTATAATTGTAGTTGTGTAAGAAAAAGTAAATGAATATGAGTCACACAATTTTTCCAAAAAAGTAAGTTGGAAGAATTTTATGGGACAACCCAAAAGAAAAGTTGGAAGAATTTTGTGGGGAGGCCGGGAGTAATTTTCATTGACACTCACTCTGTATTTTATTAGTAACAAAGTCATAATTTTATTTATAATAGATGCAAAAATAATAAAATATTTAAAAATTTATTATGAGATGCAAAAAATACATTATAATAAAATAAATGACCAAGTACCTTGTCGTCTGATGACATCAATGTTGATCTCCCAAAGAGGGGGTCGCAGGTTCGAGTCTCATCTCAATCAAGGATGTTGACATTCACAAGAGCATATACTATAATAGATTTAGAAGAATGTTCCAAAATAAAATGAAATAAATACGAAGTAAATAAATAAACAATAAAATAAGAAAAAGGCTATAAAACTAAAAAATAAATAAAATACATAAAAAATATGTAGGTCTATGCCACAACATCTCCCGCCGTGAATCACTTTGAGTACTTCGTATATTTTATTTACAAATACGTACATTAAAATTCTATTTAAAAAATATATATTTAAATTCTTCTAAGTTTTTTTCAAAGTATGCATTTTTTGAATTATTACAATTAGTGAATTAAATATATTAATGATCAACATTGTGCATTGACAAATGTAAAAATGAAAGTGTGGCAACTAAAACAAGTTAAATAAAAGCAATGTAAAAAATAAAGTATGGAATAATGCAGATACATTCGATTCTTATCTGCAGATGTATGGGAGAAGGATTACAAAAATGGCGGCCATGCACTTTAAGTAAAGAGAAATTGTTATTTTATCTGCTTCGATCACACACAGTAAACGTAGTCCCTTGGCCCGACCGCATAGCTCGCCGCAGTTCGTCCACTCCAACTTCTGAGGACGAAGTAAAAACCACTCTTTCCATTTTGCTATTTCCATTATCCCCAACCGCCATGTTCTTGATGCTCCACCACTCACCGCCGCCTCCGCCTAGCTCACAAACGACCACATCCTCCGCGTGGGACCCATTATATATGTGCACGTAATCTCCCGCTGTGCAAAGGTTTATCGAAGATAATCCGAAGGTCTCGCTCTGCAGTTTCCCGACTAACCCCGCCGGCATCTCCCCAATCTCCACGCATTCAAAGGTCTCAGAGTTGACATCCCATAGTTTTACGCCTTGGGCGTCCCCGGCGACGATAGTTCCCATTAGAACCAGCCCGCGATCTTCGGAGAATCCGATGATCGACAGGGACATCCGTGGATCGGGGCGTAAATTGTACGGCCCCGACCAGGTTTTAGTTCTCGGGTTGAAGCAGTGGGTGGCGCCGGTGAGCTTCTCGGTGACGACGAGCTTGTCGGACGTGGTGGCAATGGACAGCCACGTGGAGGCGGACGAGTCCTTAAGAATCGGCGGCATGGAATGGCACGTCTGCCACGTGGCGCCGTCCTCGAGGCTGTGCATCTCCACAGCCAGGGGGTCATCCTCGAAGTCGCACGTGCCGCCGGCAATGACGATGGAGCCGGCGACGTACGCGACGATCGGGTCCGTGCGCCACACCGTTGGCGCCGGGACGTGATGCCACTCGGCGCTGAGCGCGTGGAAGGAAAAGGAGAGCGTGGTGGGGGATAGCATGTAGATGAGGTTGGAATTGGAGGAGCGGATGGGCGAGACGTAGACGGATGACGCGGCGGCGGCGTTGGGAGCAATGTCGACCCACTCGCTGGAGCGGTGGTCGAAAGCGCGCGTGGCGACATCTTGGGGGGAACGCGTGCTTTGAGTGTGAACGAAGAGCCAGGGCTTGGGCTTGTTGAGCCACCGGAGGGAGGAAGTCACGGCGTGGCTCCAAGACTTGGACACCAGCGACGCCGCCACCAAGTCGACGAGCGGCGCGCGAGAGAGTACGACCTCTAGAATGTCGCCGTTGACCGGTGATTCCTCGTCTCGTGTTTGGTTTTCTGTACCTGACATCCCGATATACATAATGTTGAGTTGGAAGTAGCTTGATTTTGCTTTGGGGTTGGAATAGGCCGGGTGGGATACTCTTATTTATACTGATGAAAAGCAACGGCTCCTTCAATTCAACAAAGGGGGCTGGCTGGCTACGCAACTTAAATCCACTCTTGTGGATATATTGACCGAGCAGGCAGGTATTGCCGAATGTAGACTTTACGACTCTAAACTGCTGACCAAACTGTCTACAAAAGTAGAATTTCGACAAAACTGCTGTTATGTCAATCGTGCGACCGCCCAACCACCCTTTATACTTTCTCCCTCTTCAACATATATTGAAATTTGGGAAAACTGTCAAATAGGTTTTCGAACTTTCATAAAAAGGTCAATTAAATCCTTCTATAAGAGGTTAGTTCCGACCGTCGCGATTTGGGGCAGTTCCCGGTGGAATTTTTTGATAAATTTTTTTGATCATCTTATTCACCAAGTCTAGTTTACTCATACCAAATTTCAGCTAAAAATTCAATCGGGAACACATTCAAATTAATTCTTAAAAGCAAAAATACGCAGTTATCTTCATGAATTAATTTGAATGTGTTCCTGATTGAATTTTTAGCTGAAATTTAGTATGAGTAAACTAGACTTGGTGAATAATATGCCTAAAATATTTCATCAAAAAATTCTACCGGGAACTGTCCCAAATCGCGACGGCCGGACAGAACCTCCTATAGAAGGACTTAATTAACCTTTTTATGAAAGTTCGAGGACCTATTTGACAGTTTTCCCTTGAATTTTTGTATTTTCAATACATAACATTTAGTACTACCTCCGTCCCTTTGTTATTGTTTCATTACGGTTTACGATGTTTTTACTACGATAAAGCAAATAGATTCCCGTTCACACTCAAATAATTTTTGAGGAATAAATATACATATTCTGAAATTACATTAAAAGTTTTACAAAGTCGCAAACCCAGAATAAAATTTGATAAAAGTTTAATACTCCTATATAAAGTAAGCGATTAAGAGTTATTTATGTTGATCAAGTGAATAAGAACTGGAACAATAATAGGGGGGCAGAGGGAGTAATACATAGTTAAGTATAAGTATAGTCAAAATTGTATATTGATAATATGTGAAAATCAAAGCTAAGTATTGTAATTAAAAAAGAATAGTGGTAATACTACTAGTATTGTGGAGTATAGTAGGTCCCATTTCTGATGCCAACCCGATTTTAAGAAATTATTCAAAGAATCAATAAATCAGAATGTTTTAATTTAAAAGCAAAAGAATGTTTTTATTTCAATAAAAAAATCTAATCTCATCTAAATTCTAACCACACCATTCCTCCACGTCGACGGTTCGGGAGGAGTACGGACTATCAATACTGCATCTTCTTCCTCTCATTTCTCCTTATTCATAACATTTTCTGCTACAATGTACGGAGTAATAGAAGGTGTAGCCAAGTGTCGTAGTGGTTCGCAATGGATTCCCTTATTTTTTTCTTGTCGTGTTGAGCAGTTGAAGACGAACCTGCGAACAAAAAGAAGACTTGTGGTGCGCGAGGCTGAAATCCCCAAGCCGTCGCACAAAACCTAGGTCTGCCGCGAAAAAGAAACCTTGCGGAACGTACAATAAACCAATTAGTCTGTGCAAGGCTGAAACTCTCTGTCTGCACAAGTCTAGAACAGTTGGCAAAAAATTAAAATCTACGTGAAGGAAAGGGTATATAACTCCTTAGGAAGTTCTTTATCTTATTAATAAAAAATAATAATATAATTTTTCATAAATTAACAAAGTCAGCCAATTTCAGAGTTACAACATGGATTGTATAAATTATGAGATCTTTATTTTGTAACAGACATCTACTTAAAGAATTTGTAGCCTAAAAAACCTTCACTCATACTCCCTCCGTCCCGCTAAGATTGTCCCATTTTACCTTTTCGGGAAGTCCCACTAAGATTGTCTCATACCATATTTAGTAAAGATTGTGTGGCTCTAAATCATTCAAACTTTATTCTTACTTTATCAATTTAATATCAAGCACACAAACATACTTTTCTTAATAATCGTGCCACCTTTCCCCGTCTCAATCTTAGTGGGACGGAGGTAGTAGTATTTTCATAATTATTTTTATTTTATATACTACCTCCGTCTCGGTGGACTTTGCCAAGTGCAAAGTAGGTGAGAAATAAGAATAGTAATAACTGTGTGGTTGAAATTTGTGCAGAAGAGAGAAAAATGTGCAGAACCACAAATTAGTTGCTTTAATAGGAAAATGGAAAAGTTTTTGGGGACAGCAAAAAAGAGAAAGTTGGCAAAGTCCAATGGGACGGAGGGAGTATTTAATAGTGGTGAGATATTTTTCCATCGTTTGCAATGGAGCCAAAAACTTACTATTTTTTGGCTTAGGAATATGATGGAATAAAGCAAAACGACTCACAAAATTGTCTGTGTTTCTTTGTTATGAAGCAGCAGCCAGTCCATGCAATTTTCGACACGATTGTTACTATAAATCATCCGGAAACAGTCTCTCTATTCTCAAGTACAAGAGTAAGACTGCATACATCCGACCCCCCTGTGGTCTAGGTGGGAGCCTGTGGTACTAGGATAATGATAATGAAGATAATGATGAATATTGATGACGTATGAAATATAATAAAAATTTAAGAATTTTAATATACTTTTTATGGGATTATAAATGAAAAAGTTATAACAAATTTTTTAAAAGAGAGGAATTTTTAAGTTTGGATCCATGAATTTTTAAGTTTGGATAATGATAATGATGATATAATTGATATTGATGCTCATTTTTTGCTTGCTTCCTGAATGAGTTTCAGTGAATTTCCTGGATCCATCCATAGGAATGTAGATGCCGCAAAAACAAACAAGATATGACATCCATTAATATCAACTTTTACTCAAAAAAAAAATGAATATCAACTTATGTGATCGTGAAACATGATTGCTTGCTTATAACAGTTACCAGGATTTCGCCTTCATCAATGAATGGCTAAACATATCGGAGAATTATCCTTGGGTTTTCTGCCAAATTACATCGCACTGTGCAGAAACTGATTTTTTTCTACAATTGCACGTTGCATTTGTACGTCCTCCATACTGTTGTGAGAAACTCGATGTACTAAAAATCTGAATTCACACAGAACAACTAGCAAGTCCAAACTAAATAAAAAAACTCTACACTTGACCCGCTCCCCGAGTTTCTAAAAGGATACAAGTGATCCCTCTCAAGAGCTATCTATAAAGAGAATATTAAGTGTGACATGAAAAATTAAATAGATGATGGGGCTCATCAATATACTTGTCTGTGATCATCATCTAGGTCCAGAAAGCTCCATAGCTTCAACGATCAAGGAAGATTCTTCGATGAAGTCGGAGTATCTTTGGGGCATGTTTTCAAGGGTGGTACGATACCTTGTAGTATTATTATTGCTCTGTGAAGCCTCCCATTTTTCAGCTAGCCCATCGCCTTCCAGCATCCTCAACACTTCTGACATTTTCGGACGATGAGAAGGATTGAATTGAGTTGATAGTAGGGCCACCTGAACCATCTCCTCTAACTCAACACTGTCATAGTTGTTTTTTAAATCTTTGTCCACCATCACACTTAATTTCTTTTCCTGATGGAGCGACTTCGCCTGCCAGTGAATTAACAAGAAACAGACTGGTTCATGAAATGGCAAAATAAGCATGTAAAGGACAGAAGGTATCCATGTGTGTAGCGGGTGGGGGGTTCTCCACCACACAAAAGGCCTTGTTTGGATTGATTTGGTCTTCACTAAGAATAAGAATTCAACTACTTGGATTTGAACGACTACTAAATTTCTAAAAGGAAAATGGTCAGATATGGACTATGGTTACTCCAAAGTACTAATAAATCCCTAATTTTTAATTTTCACTTTTAGTAGCACAACTGCATATATTCCCTGAACACAAACAAAAAATGTCATTATCTAAATTTATCTCTATTAATGCAACAATGTTATAATACCAGATCTTACTGTCTGCGGTATAAGAATGGCTGAATGGGCAATAAGATGCAAAAGAAAAAAGGTACAAGAGATATCGTACCCAGTCAAGTATAACTCCTTTCTGGTTATTAGCACCTCTCCCAAAGTCAACAGCTTTCTGACCCGTTATTAGTTCAAGAAGAAGGATTCCAAAACCAAACACATCAGTCTTTTCAGATGATTGGCCCGTAGACAAATACTCAGGAGCTATGTGGCCAACGGTGCCCCGCACAGCAGTCGACACGTGAGATTCATGATGATCTAAGAGCTTTGCTAACCCAAAATCTCCAACAACTGCCTCAAAGTCTTCATCCAACAGAATATTGGCTGCTTTCACATCACGATGGATGATTTTGGGGTCACACTGTTCGTGCAAATACACCAACCCCCTTGCAGTCCCAACTGCTATTCTCTTCCGCCTTGACCAGTCCAATACAGGCCTCCCATGGATATGATCTGAAAAAAGCCAAATCCACAGTATGTTAGTTACATTGCTCCATTAAGGCTCTAGGATATGTATACTTGTACAACTAGGATCTCCTCAGTAGCTTCTATTGGACAGCTTATTCTTTTTCAATCCCATAAAGTTTTCCACCAAAATCAGCAGAGTAAGCATTTCTATTGGTGGTTCTTATCATGTTTATTAATAAAAAAAGATTACAAAATAAGTAGTTGTTGACTAGCTTGTTTGACTGAAACGGATTTTACCAAATGATTTTTCATTTTAGAAAAGTCAGTAGATTCGGCCATTTCAACAACATAACCTGTGGCAGGCTCTTAGAGATGTCATTGGAACTTGCCAGAGTTTGGGGGCTCACCCCAGGTCAGGTCTATTACATCCTTTGTGCCTATATATTCCCACACTTGAGATGCAAGATGATGTGCAGAGTTAGTCAAACAAAAGAGGCTCAATAAATTAGATATGTAATTTTTAAGAAATTTTGTTCCAATATTATTGGTAAACTGTTTTACGCTTAAAACTTATATGAAAGAACTATTTTTCACTCCAAGTTTGGCAACCTTTTTGTCAACTAAAATAT